AAAGCTTGAGTGTCAATGGAAACTGAAAGTTTACGTTTTTTGTGCCCTTGATAAAAAAAATTTCAGTAAAATTCACACACAAATGTATAAAAGGTGTTGACTCATTGACTTATTTGTTTTTCAGCGTCGCGGCCCCCAGAGATCGGTGGACGTGATTGTATCTGCCTGCTTCCTGTGTGCCATCTCCACCGTTTGTCTCATCTCTCTGCAGGTCAGTTGGCAGACGACTCGGCTTCTCTCTTTCTGCGTCAGTCCACGATATATTGGTGATGATGTATAGATACATCATGTACATATCGATGATGTTATGTTCTATCTGTACATTTGCATTTTTAAAAATCTTTAAGTTTTCTACTGCCCGCCCCCACCCCAATGTATTCTGATTTATAGAATGAGAGAAAGCACAAAGGGTAGCCCACAGTACTTTTGTACGGTTCAGGGGTTTGAGGCTCATTTCAGTGACTCACGTTCAACCCTTTTTAAGGACCCCCGAGCAAGTGTTGAGTTCTTGCGTGCTGCATGCTGTCAGCATTGCTGACCACTTATGACGCCACAGTACCAAGAGAGAGAGGGAGAGAGGAGAGAGAGAGAGGGGGAGAGAGAGAGAGAGGGGGAGAGAGAGAGAGAGAGAGGCTCTGTCCATCATTGCATCCTTGGTAACAGGCACTTTACACTAATTTGTCTATTTAGCATGATTCTTTCAAAGATGGATGTTAAATTTGGAGGTGTGGGTTAGTTGTGGATGCTCTGATGTGGTTTGCTCTTTCTTTCCTATCTAACATTTATCATCCTTAGCTCTCCCAGTCCTTTTTTTATTGTGTTTGTTACTCTCTTGTAACACCTTTAATTTTTGGCACTGATATGACCTAATTGTGTTGCTTGCAAGTGCCGTAAAACTTTTACTGAAACTGAAACTAAACCTATACAATTTCATTTAATAATGATAACAATAATAATAAATGGCATTTATATTAGCTCTCAGTCCTGATTAAAATACACAGGCTCTGAGCGCTTCACAACACAACAGTAACATAAAACGTTGTGTTCTGATTTAAAGAAAATTTCTCTTTCTAAATATACATCTTGTCAATTTAAATACAGAAATATGACTTCAGCTGACATTTGAATGAATCGAAGGATTAATTTGATCTGTTCCAGATGCTGAAAGAGTCGGACAGCTACCTGGACTACCTGTGTAACTGGGAGCTGATGGTCTGGTGCATCGCTCTGGCCGTGTTCCTCATGCGCTTCATGACCATCGGGCTCAAGATCAACAAGAAGTATCGCAACTTGTCCGTGCTCATCACGGAGCAGGTCAGTCCGAGTGCTGCTACTGCTAGGCATTGCAGCTTTCTTGGGATTTTTGTTGTTGTTTTGTTTTGTTTTGGGGGGGAGGGTTTAACTCATTCAGTGCTGACTCATATGAACTTATGCAGTTGCGAGCGCCGTAAAAAGCTCTGCTAAAGCTAACAACATTCAGTGCTGAGCGCTCCAGCAGTGAACTCCCCTCATATACTGGGCAGTTTTGTTATGGCAACATGACATTAGGTCTACCCAGGAAAATCAGTCAAAACTTGCGGGCTCAATGGCTGTTTGAGCAGAAAAAATGTCTCCTTGACCTTTCCCATAATGCATCACGTTTAGTTCAAATAACTTGGTTGGATTAGATAGAGTAATTCTTTCTATAAAGATACTGAGGCAGAATGGGAGAATACTCGTTGCTAGTATGTTGGCGGGACCCAGGTTTCACGAGTATTCTCGTCTGTCGCACTGAATGAGTTAAAACTCTCTAAAATATAATGGCTGCAAAGGAATGAATGGTTGGCATATGCCCTGGTGTGATTTGCTCCTTCTTTCCTATCAAACATCTGTTGTCCTCATCTCCCCTCCTTTTAAAAAATATTTGCTGCTCTTTTGCAACATCTCTTATCTTCGGCAGTTATATGACCTTATTGTGTTGAAAGTGCTGTAAAACTCTTCATTATCATCATTGCCTTTCTCCCCCTGGATCAGGATACAGGCCACGAACAAACACTTTCCACCTTTCCCTATCCTGGCTGAGCGGTTTCATGTTTTTGCATGTCTTCCCACCTTTCTGTCATAAAACTTTTACTAAAACCAAAAAATGATACTTTTGTGGTCATATTATAGTACCTCTTTCTGCCATGAGGTACTTTTTAATTATATGGTCCATTTTGTATCATATGGTCCGTTTTTCTGCCATATAAGGTACTTTTTAATTATATGGTACATTTGTAATCATATGGTACCTTTTTTCTGCCTTAAGGTGCTTTTTAATTATATGGTACATATTGTATCATATGAAAAATTGTTTCTGCCACGAAGTGCTTTTTAATTGTTTGGTCCATTTTGTTATCATATGGTACCTTTTTCTACCATTACCATCTCAATTACCATCTTTATGCAGACGATACACAGCTGTATGGATTCACTACAACTGACAATGTACACAATCTCATAGATAGAATCACCAGATGTA